TTGCTTTCCTTGATGATGAAAAGTTTGCTATAAATGAATTTGCAGATCTTTTGCATTTTTCTTCTGTTTGTCGTCCTTCCATTTTTGTCTTCAAATGCACCAAGGATGGTTTTGCTTAGTTGAATCTCCTGCCAAGTTTTCTTTAAACTGGCTTTACTCTCCACTGTTTCTCTCTGCATTATGAGGAGATACTGTTCATAACCATCCATCACCTTTCTTTGTGAGATTTTACAAAGGAGTTTATAATCTAAACTGGTATTGCCTTTGATCTTCATCTCTGCTAAGGAAGTAAGCCAAATATTTATTAACTAAGATGTTTTAGACTCTTTCAGTCTACATGTTTTAGCAATTGATTTATATCAGTTAAATGTCTTTATAAACAATCATAATTTGATGTTTATGTCATTTACACTATTATTGTTCTTTATTGTCAATTACTTATTTCAGAATGATTTTTTTCAATTTCATATCATATGATTTTCTCTATTATTCTTTCTTCTGGGTTTTTCGTTTTGTTTTTACCAGTTCTGATCTTTGCTCTAACAAGTTGGCTGTCTGACTATATGTCAGCTGCAGATTCAAGGCTGACTTCCATATAAAAATGAGTTAATAGGATCAGAGATTTAGAACTATTTATGTATGACACCTGTTTTGTGTCTTACTTTTGTAGGTATTTTTGCTTAGATTTTAATTGAATTTTTCATATGGTAGTTGCTGAGGTGATAAAAAATTGCTGAAGCTGATAATATAGCTTATATTTATGTAGTACTTTACAATTTACAAATGATTTCATTTGATCTTCAGAACAATCCTGTGGGATAGGTAATACAAAAATAATCAGCTCAGAAGGTCACACAGGTAGTTAGAGTTAGGACTCAAAGCTAGACTTTCTGAATCCAATTGGGCTAGGACTCTTCTCATGTAATCCTTCTTTCAGATGATCACTAAGGTCCCTTCCTTTTTGATGATATATCACTTACTTAAGTAATGGATTATAAAAAAGAATTTTTAAACGAGCAAAGAAGACTATAAGTAGCCACTGGGGCACTGAAGATGGACAGGAGCTAGAAAAGCTGATCTGGGAGATATGGTAAGTTAGATAAGCAATAGAAGATGATCACAAAAAGCATATGGATGAGCTGGCTAAGATAGAGTTAGCAATAGAATTGTTACCAGGAAAGGGAAGCTGTTAAATTGGTAAGATTTGAAAGATAAATTCAAAATCAATTATAATACAATGCAATAAAGAAGAGAAAAATTAAATAACTAGCCATTGTTTACATAGATAGTCTCCAACTTACAAATACATAAATTCTTCAGGATCTAATGAGATAATATTTATAAAGTGCTTGGTGCAGTACCTGGCTCATAGTAGGTGCTAAATAAATGTTTGCTATTATTGTCACCAATTGTTAGTATGGTTGTTGTTGTCATCATTCAGAAATTAGAAGACATTTTCCCATTTCCCCCTTCACTATTATGATAGCAGGGGGTGGGAGCTTACTTACAGGGTTTACTTATTGACTGGAAACCAGTTGTGTTTTTAGGCTATCTTAAATGACTCTAAAGTGGTCTCCCTGCCTGTGATCTATCTCTTCTCCAATCTATTCTTCACACTACTACCAAAGTAATCTTGTTAATACATGGGTCTGATCATATTAGTTTCCTCCTTAACTTTTTGTGATTCCCATTACCTAGAAGATAAAATGAAAATTCTATATTGTGACCTCCATAGTCTAACACAAACCTCCTCTTCCAATTTTAGCTTATGCTATTACTCTTGTTACACTCTCTATTCTAGTCAAATAGGACTTTTGGATGTTCCCCAATCTCGTCCTTCTCCAACCCTGTAAATTTGTACTTGCTATTACATATCTAGAACGGACTCCCTTTGTGTTATTACCTATTGAAATCCTTTGCTTTCTTCAAGTTCAAGGCCAAGGGTTACCTGTTCTTCCATGAGGCTTTCCCTGATGCCTTCAGCTAGCAGTTCTCCAATCTCTCATGTCCATTTGATCTCTCTGATGCAGGTTACTTATAACTGGTCTCTTCACCCAGAAGAGGAAGAGGGATATGCTGATAAAGACAACTAGAGTGATTGATGGGTATCCATTACTGCATCACAGGAATTCTACCAATCCATGTCTAATCTTATGAAACCTGATGATTGGTACATTCAAAAGTACTTGAGGCCCATTTCCCCCAAGACTGGGGCACATATGAGAAGCTCTACGTACTTTTGTCTACCTCAGTATAAAATTGCATAGCACCTAACCTCTGGACATCATCCAGAACAAGTCTCTTGCCTAGACAGACTGATTGCTGTGTTTGTGGCTATGTGTCTGTTCCTTCATTTTCCTGAGGCCAAAATGGGGATCTAAGATGGCAGTGGTATGATGTATATCTCTTCTACCCTTCTTATATTAGTATTTCAACTGAACTGATTTGTAAACCACGAATAGGCAAGGGTTCAGCATGGACACTATAAACTCCTTACAGATAATATTTAAACTACAACCCCCACTTAATATTTCATTTTCTTTTAAAGATACAAAAATAATATCCACAGTCTCTGTGGGAGAGGTTATTGAAACCAGTATGACACTTAACATTTGATTCAGTAAAAGTAACATGGGCCCAGGCTCCTAAGCTATGGTTTTGAATAGAAAATCACCCCCACAGACCTAGGTGTAGCTAAGAAGGGGAACACATCAAAGGGTACAGGTTGCCACAAACGAACCCATGGATTAGATCAACTTTGTCTACGTTTCTTGGAATCTGTAATCTTACTAATATACGTGGCTGGGCACTTTTCCATTATACTGTCTCATATTTACTTGTGTGCTTGTTTTGTTCCCTGCCTACTAAATTGCAAGATAGTGACTATTGTTTCTTACTTCTGTTTCTCCAGATACACACAGTGTACCTTGTGCATAGAAGTCATTTAATAAATGCCTACTGAATTGAAGCAAATATTGTCATAGCCTACTATTATAGTGTAAGCTCAATGAAGGAAGGGATAATGTCTTAATTGTTGGGCTCATCTACTGGTGGTACTACACAATTTTGGTTTTATAGGCAGAACTCTAAAAACAGAGGAGGCTATTATCTGGCTACAGAGATCACTAGCCCTGGTCTCTCGACATACTTTCCTGTGATTCTCCATGCCACTAAGCAAGACCATTAATGAAGATGAAGGAAACAGGAAAATTGTAATGGTCAGAGGTATGACCCCATTAGTATCTTAGTCAAAAGTTTGGTGAAGCAGTCCTAATTTATGACGTGTTCTTGGGTCTGGTACAACCTGTTTTTCTACCTCTCCATCATCCCATTCCTGTGTCCCTTGGAGTTATTTTTGATTCAACATTCCCCTTTAACCCCTATAGTCATTCAGTTACCAAGTCCTATTAAATTGCTTTCAAACTATCTAAAGGTCTTTGCTTTCTTTTCATATTCATTACCACAAACCTAGTCCAGGCTAATTTCCTTTCATGCCTCCTAATCCATCTCCCTGCCTCCACTCCTCAATCTATTTTTGTTACAAATTGCAACCAGAGTAAACTTAAAACACTGTATTCATTAAATCATTATCTGCCTTAAAAAAAAAATCCAACAATGACCCAATCCAAACACCTTAATGCTTATCTGATACCTGCTGGATAACGCTTAGAGTCCTAAGCCTGACATTCCAGAACCTCTATAATTTGGCTTCCCCTCATCTATCCAACCTCATTTCCTAGGACTGCTTTAATTCATCCTTTCTACTCCAGTTTAGTCTGGCGTCTTAATAACCAATTGTGATCACCCCTACCCTTGTGCCTACCCTCATATGTTGTTTCTCTTGCGTGAAATGCCTGATCTCTTCACTCAGAAGTGATCTTTCTCTACCCTAGGGTCCTTTAACGTTTATTTTCTGTAATATTCATAGGATAGTCATCAGAGGCTATCTCACATTATGATAACAGATGGCATTTATATAGCTCTTTAAGGTACGCACAGTGCTTTTTATATTATCTCTTTTGATCTTCCCAACAACCTTCCCTTGTGAGATAAGTGCTATTACTATTCTCATTTTCCAGGTAAAGAGAGAGGTTATGCAATTTGCTCAGGGTCACTGGACAGTTAGCAAATGTCAGAGGCATAGTTTGAACTGTCTTTCTGATTTCAAGTCTCATGCTCTTCCCACTGTGCCAGTTACCTGCCTCTGCTTAATAAATTTTCTATCAGCAACTTTTCCGTAGTTTAATGTCTCAGAATTACCTAGGTACCAAGAAGTCAAGTGACTTGACCAGGGTCACATACTTAGGACATGTCAAAGGCAGACTTGCACCCAAATTCTGATGACCTTAAAACCAGTCTTCTCATCTCCACTAGGCTACTCTCTGTCTCAGCTAAAGGATTTTTATTTCTATTTTTCCGGAAGATGAAATAAAGACCCAGAGAGCTAGAGTGATTTGCCCATGGCTACTCAGTAAAAAGGGTCGAAACCAGGCTTCATCGAGTTCGAGTTCAGGGTTCCTACTACACAATCCTGCTGCTCACAAAGCCCCTATGCTTCAGTAGTCAGGAATCTGTGAAGCATTAAAGTAGGAAGTAAGAACAATGGTAACTTGATTGGCTTTTCTACTATCATTTGGAAAAATTAATTTTAGCCAGGGTGGAAGCAAAAACAACTCAGAACCTCCAAGGCCACCTTGGTCTGTTTGTTTGACAAGGGGCTGAGCCCACAGATTTGTCTTAGTCCTTCCGGGGTATTGTACAGTCACACTTTGGTGAACAGTTCCAACGTGGTACTCAACAAACACTACTTGGATCGAATGATCAATGAGTTAAGATATTATGTAAACCCCTTTGCAAACCTGACAGCTCTATATGAATGCTAGAGTTATTCTTATTGTTGTTATTTACCCCAAATCCTTGATTAATCCAAAATTGAAATTTCTGGTTGTGCTGGGTAAACATCTGGCACTACTTGGTTGAGGCTGATTCTCCATTCATACCTTCTTGCCCATGGTCCTCAAAGATCTGCCCCTACTTGTTCCTTCATCTGGGTTTTGGCACTTTCCAGGTCCATTTCAGAGGTGGGGCTCAGTTTCTCCCTCTTTCCTTTCATGCCTAAACAAGCATATAAATCCTTTTAGAAGGCTGCATGGTTAATCAGTCAGTCAACTAGCATTTATTAATGACCTAATATATGCCAGGCACACATGTTAAGCTCTGGGGATACAAAGAAAGGCAAAAGGCAGTTTCTGCTCTCAAGGTGCTCTCAGTTTAACAGAGGAGATAATTTGCAAACAGCTACAAGGTATACAGAATAAATTATAGGTTGTATCAGAAGGAGGGCACTAGTGTGTTGGAGTTGGAGTAAGGAGGACCTGAGTTCAAATCCTACCTCCACATTTAGCAGCACTATGATCTTAGGTAAGTCCCTTTACTTTGTGGCCTCAGCTTCCCTATCTGTAAAATGAAGATAATAGCTCTTACCTCACAGATTGTTGGGTGGGATTAAATGAGATAGCAGATGTACAGTGCTTCGCAAACCTTAAAGTGACATATAAAACTACTATTTTTGAGGGTTATCTATTGGTTTTTAGTGCTAGATTCTATTGAGATAAAAAAAATTACAAATATAGGAACATGACAAGAAGACTTGATACTTATCCCTCTTCTTCAGTGGCATATTAGTGGACATTGGTTTCATTTCCTAGGTCCTACTTTCTCCTTCACTGATTAACCAACCCTTAGTCTTATATTGGGAATTGGTTCTCACCAACGTTTATTCCTCTTCTGATTCCCAGAGCTGGTGTTCCTGGAGGTCTAACTCCCTCCCAGGAGGAAGACTTGTGCTCCTCTGCAATTTCCTGCTTTCTTTAGACTTGCAGGTTGATACCAGAGAATGTAGCAGAAAGTAGGTCCTAGGGCCTAACTGGTATTCAGTCAGATTCTTAATAGCTCAAGGGATAATAATCTACCCCTCAAATGCTTCTTGCTTGGATCAGTAAAGTCATTTTAGGTCATTCTCTGACACCTGTAAATGAGGGCTAACCAGAAAACCCTTTTAATTTCAATTCCTGCTGCTGAAAATCTTTCAAACATGCCTACTTTTTCTGCTATATTAAGCAGAGTATGCTAAACTTAATTTAATCCTAGCTTCAGGTTTTGTAATACCACAGGTTCAACATTCTGAACCTAATTAATTGTTCAGTATTGTGGATGTAGATGTTTTGGGAAAGTGTAGTATCCCTTAGAATTTTAAAAATTATTATTAATGTCCGAAAGGAAATCTTTCTTGTAAGGTGCATTCTTCCAAAAGTCAGTCCCCCCATCTTGTTGATATCTTAGAATAGAATTCTAGAAATCTAGTTACACAGAATAGAAATCTAGTTAATCAATATTATTTATTATAGTATGAATTATGAACTACTATACTAGAAGAATAAAAATTGCGGGTGACCCAAAGGGCAATGGAGAGAGATATGGCAGGTCTACAGTTGTTCTGTATTACCATTGAGTGTAAGAAGTGGTACAAAAGGGATCCTTGTGGAAATGTATTATTAGAAAAGGAGGGAGAGATGAGTCTTATAGTGAAAGCAAGACATATTGATGAAAGCGAGGAAGAGCAGATGGATATCCCCAAAGCACTGGGATATACAACATGATGAAAGACTTAGAGGAAGCCTTCCCTTGTGTTAGGTGGATCATCTATGGAGGAAGATAAGGACAAGTATTGTACAGTATGAGAAAAGCTGTATGGCAGGGTATTGAATATTTATTAGCAGAAAATTTCTGAGGTGATGGAACCACAAGCCTTAAAGGAGCAAGAATTTGGCAGATGAAGTCATATTTTTTTTAAACTTTAATAACATCTCCACCCCCCCTCATTTACCTGTAAAAACAGTTTTATACATTTTTTTAAAAAATTGAGTTCCAAATTTTCTTCCTTCCTCACCCATCCTTCAGATGGCAAGCAGTTTTATATAGGTTATACATGGGTTACAGATGTGTGAACATGCAAAACATTTCCATATAAGTCATTGTGAAAGAAAATACAGACCAAAAAAAAAGTTTAAAAAAGTATGTTTCAATCTGCATTCAGACTCCATCAGTTTTTTTTTTTGTCTGGATGTGGATAGCATTTTTTATCGTGAATCTTTTGGAATGGTCTTGGATCATCACATTCCTGAGAACAGATACATTACCCACAGCTGATCATCACATAATATTGCTATCATTGTGTACCATGTTCTCTTGCTCCTGTTCACCTTGCACCAGTTCATGTAAATCTTTCCAGGTTTTTCTGAAGTTATCCTGCTTGTCATTTCTTGCAGCACAATAGCATTCCATTTCAATCATATACCACAACTTGTTCAGTCATTCCCCAATTGAGGGGCATCCCCTTGATTTCCAATTCTTTGCCACCACAAAAAGAGCTGCTATATTTTTGTGAAAATACGTGCTTTTCCCTTTTTTTCTTTTTTTAATTTGGGATACAGACCTAGTAATGGTATTGCTGCATCAAAGGGTAAGCATTGTTTTATAGCCCTTTTGGCATAGTTCCAAATTGCATGGAGCCACTGTATTTTAAGCGGACACTATGATAACTCCTACTTGATTGTTTAAAGGCAAATAAAATATTTTTGCACTCTTAATAACATTATCACTTTCAGCCTGCCTTTCCAAATTTATTTCAAATTATTCCCCTTTATATAGTCTACTTTCTGGACAAATTGGCCTACTTGCCATTCCCCCAGACTTGGCATTCCATCTCTTGCCTTGCAAGAGTTGTTCCACATGCTTGGAATGTGTCCCCTACTCTCCTCTGGCTCTTAAAATCTTCAGTGTTCTTTGAGGCTGTTCTCAGGTGCCGATTCATATGACCTTTCCTGACTCTCCTACTTATTATTCTCTCCCCGCTCAGATTACACTGTTTATACTTACCCAAATAATGTCATATACTTCATGTAGAATGTAAGTTCCCTGAAGACACGGACTGTTTTTTTTCTTTCTTTTTTTTTTAAGCCTTGCATATCCCTGAAACCTAACACAGTGCCTCGAACATAGTATGTGCTTAATAGTTGTCTAACTGAATGGGTTGTGATCTGCTCTTAGCTTAGCTCTAAAATAATAGTCCCATGATTTATGTTTCTAATCTTTTGTGACTCGGTGCTCCCTTTCTGCTTTCCCTTTACCTGTGCTACCCTGGGCCCTCCATCTAAGCCTGTGACACTTCCTTCCCTTGTAAATCATGGTCACCAGCCGTCTCAGCGATCAAAGGCCTTGAAATAATGACCGCAGAGACTGAGATCTGAGAGGAGTCAGGCCCCACCTGTTACAGCTAGCCCCTGATTGTGCAGAGGGAATCAGTGCTAAAATGATTTAGTTCATAGTTTAGCTGGTTTCAGTCCAGGGGTTTGATTAATTTCAGTAACATTGCAATTAATCAGTAAGCATTTATCAAGTGACTACTACCGTTTACTTCACAGTACTTTGGGGACTACGACAGATAAAATGTGGTTTCTGCCTTCAAACACTTTACAATCTAATTGAAGAGACAAGCCTCACACTGCACAATAATGAATTCAAGATGGTGCTGAATCATGTGGTAGAGATTACAAGGAATGCAGAAAAAAGGGTGGATCAATGACAGTGGGAGCAACCAAGGCAAGCCTCCTGGAAAAAAGATTTGAGCTCGGTATAAGATCAGGACAGGGTAACATACAAAGGAAGGCATTCCATTAAGTGGAATCAACCAATCAATCAATCAACCAATAAGCATCTATTCCACTTGGAACTCAAAATGTAACCAAAAATTAAATTAAATTAAAAAACCCCCCAAGCATTTCTTAAGTATCTACAGTAGCACAGACACTGTTTCCAGGCACTGGAAACAAAAAGACAAAAGCAAATCAGTCCCTCTTCCCCGGAGGATCTTCCAGGGAGACATCACTGGGATATATATATATATATATATATATATGCAAAACACCTACGCGGTAGCCTTGGGGAAGGACAAAGGCATCAGCAGCTGGGAGGCCAGGACTAGGGACTCCAATTGGTGGAGGGAAGGCAGAAGGGAATCCCGGGCTTGGGTGACATTCAGTGCAAAGGTACAGAGATGGGGTGCCGTGTTGGAGGGGCGTCAAGTTGGCCAGCATGACAAGAGCATTTGTTGCGGGGATGAGAGAGGAATGGATAATCAGGCCAGGGAGGCAGGATGGGCCAGGTTGTAAAGTGCTCTAAGTTCCAAACGGAGGCAACTGGAAGCAGCGTGTGGCAGGTGAATTTTTCACTTCTGTGTATTTGCGCTCCCAATTGGTTGTTCTTTCTTTAGCTTCTTTGGAAAGACTCGCCCTTGGTGGATTCAGGTTTTTCTGCTCTGATAGTTATTTGTGGCACAGGCCATCAGTCCTGCCACGTGCTCTCTTTTGGCTTTTTCCAAGATTCTTCTTTCTCACTGGAACGTCTTGACGCAGCTGCATGCTCTTTTGGGAGTCAGTGGGCTTCTGTCTCCTTGAGTGTTGGTTCTGCGTCCTTTGTCTTGCAATATTTAGAGACATTTGCAATCACTGATATGTCTTGGTAGCTATCTTCCCTTTGTTTTAATAACTTCTCTGTTGATTTATCTATGTCAGCTCTGGCTTATTGTGCCTTCTTTTCTTTTTTTTAGGCAATTGGGGTTAAGTGACTTGCCCAGGGTCACACAGCTAGTAAGTGTCAAGTGTTTGGTCTGAGGCTGGATTGAACTCAGGTTCCTCCAGACTTCAGGGCCGGTGCTCTATCCACTGCGTGCCTTCTTTTCAAACCTGAACCAGCCCGTAACTCCTCAGATTACTTCAATCCTTCCACTCCTATGGCACCCATGCCAGCCATGTTCCCTTCAAACCTGTATCAACCCATCACCCCCTGTACTCCCACTACTCCATCTTGCTCTCATGCTGTTGTCTTACCACACTCCCCCCAACCTCTTGGAATTTTCAATTTGAGATGCCTATAGGTCATCTAGTGTGAAATGTCCAACAGACAAGTTGGTAATGTAGGACAGGAATAATTAGGGCTGGATACTTAGAACTAGAAGTCACCTATCTAATCATCTATTTAATAATAATAATAATAGTTATTATAATGACTATAACAACAGTCATCTATTTAAACCCATGGGAGCTGAAGTCACCAATCAACAAGCATTTATTAAGCAAGCACCTATTACATCCCAGGTATTATGGTAAGTGCCGGGTATATAAAGACACAAATGAAAGTCCCCCACCCTCGGTGAGTTCACAGTTTAAGGGAAAACAATACGTAGATATATATATGGAATATTTACAAAATAAATAGGTAATTTTTGGAGGACAGGTCCTTAGGAGTTGGGAGGGACCAGGAAAGGCTTTATATAGGTGGTGCTTGAGCAACACTGTGAAGGAAACAAGGGACTCTTAATTTGTAGAGGTAAGGAGGGAATATGTTCCATCTATGGGGGACAGTTTGGGTAAAAGTCTGGGGACAGGAGACAGTGCTGTGTGTGAAGATTAAGAAAGCAAGTTTGGGTGACTGGTAGAGTTTGTAAAGGGAAATAATATATAATAAAGTTGCAAAGGGAGGTTAGGACCAAGTTGTTAAGGGCTTTAAATGCCAAACAGGGGAGTTTTTTATTTCATCCAGGAGTCAATAGAGGCCATAGCAGTTTACTGAAGAGAGGAGTGACAGGGTCAGACCTGTACTTTAGGAAAATCACTTTGGCAGCTTGGAGAGGGAAGAGATGGTGAGAGAATAGGCAGTGAGACCAATTAGGAGGCTACTACAATGATCCAGGTGACAGGTGATGAGTTCCAGCTGAATAAAATGGTGGCAATTTGCATGTGTGTAGGGACCAGTAGGAGGTATATGGTGGAGGGAGAAATGGCAAAACTTGGAAAATGACTAGATATGTGGGATGAAGGAGGAAGAGGAATCAAGAATACCTGGGAGACTAGAAGGATGGTGGGCGCCTTTGATGCGAAACGGGATGTCTGGAAAAGGGGTGGGGTTGCGGGAATGAAAGAACGATGAGTTCTGTCTTGGACACGTTGAGCTGGAGATATCCAATGGCAAATCTACTTTGAAATGGCTAATGGTCTGTTTGGTGATGGTCAGGAAAGAAGCTATGACTAGATATACAGATCTGCTAGAAGGGACAATCAAATCCATGGGGACTGATAAAGCCAGGAAAGAATGTTAAGGGAGAAGAGGTCCCACCACTGCACAAAGGGAAGAAACAATTTAACCCCTACTATGCGCCAGGCATTGCACTAACCACTCTACAAATATGATCTCATGTGATCCTCACAACAGCTCTGCAAGGTTAGGTGCTATGATTACAGCCATTTTACAGTTGAGGAAACTAAGGCAGAGATTAGGTAGTGACTTTCCTGGGGTCACACACTAGGAAATACCTGAGGCTGAATTTGAACTTCCAGCCTTCCCGACTCCAGGGCGGGAGTCCACCGAGCTGCCTTTAAGTAAGGGGACCCTTGTCCTGAAAGATCTGCATCTGGGAAGCTTCCATGTTAACTTACAATTACATAGTACTTTAAGGTTGACAAAGCACTTTCCTTACAGCAGCCTTGTGAGGCAGGCAGGGAAAGTACTTTACAGAGAAATAAGTTCAAACGTTTTCTGGCTTCCACCTTGGGACCCTCAGCTCTCTTCCCATCTGTTTCTTCTCTAAGGATTCCTGGGTGCCCATCCTCTGGCACATGAGCTGCATGTGGATCTTGCCATCCTAGGCATGGAGTGAGTCTGTATAGTGCACGTATATGTATGCGGTCATGTATGTGTGTATGCACATATTATTTATTGTATAGGTGCGGGTATATGTGCCTATATGAATGTATATGCGTATATACGTGTATAAAAGAACTAGATCAGAGTCGTCGTTCCCCCACCCCCAGCGCTGCTGCTCCTCCCACCCTCGGGTCTGGTCTGGGGGGGACCTCTAAGAACCTATCCCCTCCCCCAAAGGCTTCCTCAGGTTCAAAGTCTCCCTTGGGACCCCACCCAATCAAAACTCCGTGAAAAGAACGATGGATTTGTTGGATGCAAGTTCTGCCTCTTTTGATCTGTAATATGACCTTAAAAAAAAGTTCTTTATCTATGTGGTCCTCATTTTCCCCATCTGTAAAACCAAGGAGGTTAACCTCAAAGGTCCCTTTCAGCTGCAAATCTACAAGAGCATAATTATCCCCATTTCAGAGAGGGAAAGACTGAGGCTCTGAGAAGTGTCTGGTTGCCCTCGATGTCCTAGCTAGTAAGGGGCAGGATTCGAACCCAGGTCTTGAACGCAGTTACCCGCGTCACCACGTGGTGTCTAAGAGGTTTGGGGAGGCGGCGCTGCGCGCTCAGTCGCCCGGATTAGCGCCGCCACTTCCGGGAGCCTCCCTCCCCTCTCCTCTCCAGGCTCGGGCTCCGCTGGCGAGCGTCCCAGGGAACCGGCGCTCCCCGCCCCTCCCCTTTCCTCCGCGCGCGCCCTCCCTCTCCTGTCCTACCTCTCCTCCGCGCGCGCGCCCTCTAGCTTCTCCTCTTGCGCGCGTCCTCCCCCCTCCCCTCCGCTCGCGCGCGCCCTCTCTTTCCCTCTCCCCTCCCCTCCCCTTCTCTCTCCTCCGCTCGCGCGCGCCCTCCTCCCCGCGGTCAGGCTAGAGCACAGCTCTCGCTTTCGCTAGCTGGTGCGGCCGTTGCTGCCCTACGTTAGGGGAGGCACTTCCGGTGTGTGACTGGGTGGCCGGATGACGTGGCTGAGTCAGAGGAAGAAGCTGAGGCGGAGGCAGCGGCGGCGGAGCGGACTCGGCGGGGCGGGGGCTACGCTCGGCCGCGGGCGGTGACGGCGACGGCGGGTCCGGTTCGGGCAGCGCCGAGGCGGCAGGGGCAGCGGCTGGGCCCCGGCCCTGTGCGTCCGTGCGCGCGCGCCCCTTGGATGTGAATCGGCGGCGGCGGCGGCTGCGGCTGCGGAGGAGCCTCGGGCGGAGGGCCGGCCGGCGCCGGGCGGGGAGAGAGCGCACCATGGAGCCGCGGCGGGGGGTCGCCCGCGCGGCGGCGGCGGTGGTGCTGCTGCTGCTGCTGCTGCCGCCCCGGGGCCGGGCGGACGAGCACGACCACACGGTGAGGCGCCGGGCGGCCTCGTCCTCGCTCCCGGAGGCCCCGGGTGGGCCCGGCCCAGACGGAGCCTCCGAGCTGTGTGCAGGAAGCGCCGGGCCCAGCCCCGGGGACCTGGGGCACCTACTCGGTGGGGCGTGAGCGTTGGGGGGCGGCTTCCCACAGGGCCCGGGCTTGTCGGGCTTCTCCTGTCCTGGAGCCCGGGGTCCTGTTACCGTGGCTGCTGGGCGGTACGACACAATGGGATTAAACACTGTGTCCTGGTGAGGGCAGAAAGCACTGACCACTTGTGGTGGCCTCCAGGCCCCGGAAGGGTTCCGTCCTCCTCGGCCTCGAAGAGTGGGACGGCACTCCAGAGCTATGTCAGTAACAGGGTCATTCCACGTGTGCACTCGTCCACCTCCACGCAGGCCCGCGCGATGGCTGTGCCAGCAACTTTTCTTCCCCATCTCAGGCCCCCGCCCCTTGTTGTGTATCGAGAGAAGGGCTCGGCAGCAAAGGCACTTGTTTTGGATTGTAACCTTGGAGTAGGCAAGGCCAGACTAGGCTGGGGACAAAATTTACTTTTGCCTTTAATTAATTGTCCAGTTGTGTTAAATTGAAACCCTTTAAAATCAAAGCAACTTTCTGACGCTTTGCTTGGAACGACTTTTCTTGGGGACTTGAATTGTTTTCCAAATGCTAGGATGTTTTTTAACCAGATCTGAAAGTGTTAGCTTAGGGACTGTGATAAAAAGCGAGGCAGGTTTTTGACTTTAACCACTAGCCATATTTACTTGCATAGGCTCTTATCACGACCGTAAATGATTGTTGTGTATTTAGAGAATTGTTGAGTTCTAAGTTCTTCCACTGAGTGACAGGTTACTTCCCATATCCCTGGGCTTCAGTTTAATTAGCTGTAAAAGAAGAGAGTTAGACTAGATGGGGGAAGTTCTTGGTAGTTCTGATGATCAATGATGTTGGAATTCTGATTTCAGTTCTCTTCTGTAGTTACTGAGAAATGAAAAAAAAATACACATGTATGATCCTATGATTCTGTTTATGTATTTAATGGGACTTACTTGAAAATTTAACTTGTTTATCCAGATATTAGGCTAAGCCCCTAGGTTTGACAGCTTCTCTGGCTTCCTAAGTTAACATAAATGCCAAACAGTGTATATAAACTGTTATATTTGGTAAGTGTCAAATGATCACATCAGGATACTTATGAGACTTCCAGAATTGAAGTGAAAGGCATACTGTATTTTATGTTTTCATATTTTCATATTGGAAATTAAAAAAACTATTTCATTTATTTTGGCATTTACTTTGTTTAGAGGTGGTGTTTTGTAGTGGAAAGGACACTGGATTTGGAGTTAGAGGATCTGGGTTCAATTTCAGGTCCTTCTGCTTAGTAAAAGTATGTGACCTCGGTCTAGTAATATGGGGAATGTGATGGACTTTGGGCCTCAGTTTCCTCATTTCTAAAGTGAGGACTGTGGGGCAGCTAGGTGGCACAGTGGATAGAGCATTGGCCCTGGAGTCAGGAGGACCTGAGTTCAAACCCAACCTCAGACACATAACACTCAGTAGCTGTGTGACTCTGGGCAGGTAGCTTAACCCCAGTTGCCTCACCAAAAAAAAAAAAGTGGTGAGGGGATTGGGAATAGATTATTTTTAAAGTAACTTCTAATTGTAAACATATGATCTGACTAAAATATTTTATTCCCCCTCCCCTTTTATCTGTTACTCTCCAAAGACTCTTTCCCTCAACCAAAATAGAACTCTATGTAGTAAATATAGTTAAACAAAAATATCAACACGCTGGCAGGACCTGGCTGTGTGCCTCATTATACACCCTTATTCCACTAATTCTCTGAAAAGTGGGAAGTATGCTTCACTATTGGTCACTGCATTGAACATAGTTGTGAAGTTTTTAAATGTTGCTTTCCTTAACATGCTTGTGGGCTTTGTATAAATTCTTGGTTCTACTCATTTGCTCTTCAGTAGATCATACACTTTTTTCTTATGCTAAGTTCTTCATGTTTGTCATCTTTTAAATTCTTATGTCATAGTTTGTTCAGCCATTCAGTCAGTCAGCAGGAATAAATGTTAAGCTTAGTGCTGGGGATACAAAGAATGACAAACATCCCTATTCTCAAGAAACACATTCTAATATCAAGACCACTATGTACCTGCAAGATGGTCTCTGAAAGAGGGGTGCTGGGGAAGGATGAAGGACTTTTTTCTGGAAAGTATTTGAGCTGAGTCTTGAAGGAAGCCAGGGCATGTAGCAGAGGTAGAAATTTGGAGGGAGGAGCTAAGCAGTAAAGACTAGGGGTACAGCCAGTGCAAATGTACAGCGTCAACAGATAGAATTTCCTGAACAAGTAAGAAGAACGGTGTGATTAGATCATAGAATGTGTAGAGGAAAATAGTGTAAGAAGACTGGAAAGGGCCAGGTTGTGAAGAGCTCTGTGCCAAAGTGCCAAAAGGAGGATTTTGTACTTGATCCTGGAGATCATAGGGAGCCCATTGGAATTTAATGAGTAGTGGGTGACACAGACCTTCCTTTTAGGAAAATTACATTGGTAGTTGAATAGAGGATGGATTGGAACTTCCTCGGGAAAGACAGGTGCAAACTGGGAGACCAGTTAGAATATTGCAATAATCCAATGGAGAGATGATAAGGGCCTGAACTAGGGTGGTAGTTATGAGAGTGGAGATAAGGAATGTTATAGGAGATATCACAAAGGTAGAAACAAAATTTATTACAGTAAATTAGGGATTAGTGACTTCTGTAATCATAGAACCTCTTTCTTAGCCAAGTCAGTGGGTACCTATTTTTATTCTAGTTCTGTTAATACCTAAAATGTTGCTGTCTGTAATCCTTTACCTCTGCATTTGACCTGACCTTGGTGGAGGGAAGGGGTGGGAGGATGTTAAGTGTATATCTCTAGTTGTGTTAATGGGTCTAATAATACACTTCAGTGATTTTTCTAGTATGTTTCCAAGTTGTTTTCAGGACCAATTCACAGTGTGCCTATGTGATTCTGCTTTCCATATAAAAATGTTAAAGTTTATGTTAGAATTTTCATTTCTCTTTTCTAAATAACTGTAAAGGAGAGCTACTTCCAGTGACCATATAGAACTTTACATCTTTGATCAGTCTGCTTTTAATTTTTATTGGATGCTCTGCTGGTTGAAAGGACAATTGCTAACTTTATTATTTGAATATTTTATAGAAGCCACTAGTAGTTAAAAAATGTTTATTAAGCAGTCTGTGCTAATAAAAATACTTTCCTAAGTATTGGATATGCAAAGTTAAGATTAGGTCCTTCATCTCTAGGTGCATAGATCTGATGCCAAGGCATGACAGATCTACATTTAGGTAACTTGTGGGATCATAATCTTGGAACTTGAAGAGACGTTAGCTGGAGTCCAACTCTGTTTTACAAATAAACAAACTGAAGCCCAGAAAGGTTGTCATTTGCCCAGTATCACACATTTGGCTAGTGGTGGAAGTCAAACTCAGGTGTTGACTAAAAGGTTAGTGCTCTATCTACAACACCATGCTGCCTTTTACGAATTAGAATGAGGTAAGTAATTGCAAAAGAGAGGTCCAAACAAATTGTTCTGAGAGATTTCTTGGAGTGAGGAAAATCACTATGAATGTTTTTATTCTTGCAGCATTGCTTCAGTGGTATCAAACATGTATGAATGTTAATGAAAAGGTTCTTATTTATAGTTTATTTCTGTACATACATAAAAATTTGACTTTTACATTTAGTGAAGAAATGTTCTGAAGATGTTTAAAGGTCTTAACAATTAACAATCACAAATAATTAAGCAAAAACATTAAAATGGAGTTTTAATTTCAGGAATGTTCATTTCCAGAAATTTGCAGTATTTGGAGTCACTTTTTCTAGATAGGAGAAAATCTTAGATAACAAAGATTTTAATGATTGCTGTAACTCATAGAAAGTGATATTTTAATGAGTTGCTGGGTAAAACTGTGTGCATGTCAGTTCACTTACCTACACTGAATTATACTCATTTATTTCCCTTTACAAAGTATTAAGTAAGTATAAAGTATTTACTTTAAAATTCGAGGAAATGTCTCCTGAAACTTTCCTTTTGCCAAATCTCTTACCATTATAGAGTAATTGAAAATGGACATTTACTTTAGGAACTTAACAATGAACAGATAAGAGAGAGGGCAGTGAGAAAATAAGTTGAAATTTTTTCCATTATGGGAGAGACCTGTGAATTTTTGAAGCCGTGGAGGAAAGGGAGTGAATGGAGAGAATGTAGTGAGGGAGAGTGAAAGTTAAAGAGTCAGGTTTTATGGGCCCAGTAGGTGCTAGCTTATGAATTGAATTTCCAATTGGAAGGCAGTTCCAGAGATAGGTTGAGTTAACCAACTTTGATGTGAAGGATGTTTTCCAGTAATAAAACTTAAGATAAAAGTAAAATTAAGTAAACCTTAAATTTTTATTATTTTTTGGGATGATAAAAAAAGTTCCAGAAGTGTTTATTTTATGCTGACCCATTTTGACTATCAGCCACAAATTTGTTGAGTAGAATTGCATAAGTTGATTATATATTTGGCATTAGAATGCAAATGCTATGCTATCTTTTTTTTTTTATTTTATTTTTTTATATATAAATTTATTTATTTTTAGTTTTCAATATTCACTTCCACAAATTTTTGAGTTCCAAATTTCTCACCCCTCCCCCCACCCCAAGATGGCATGCATTCTGAATACCCCTTCCCCTGGTCTGCCTTCTCTTCTATCTCTTCCCCCTCCCTTCTTTTATTCCCTTCCCCTTCTATTTTCCTGTAGAGCAGGATAGACTTCTGTACCCCATTTCCTGTATTTCTTATTTCCCAGTTGCATGTGAAAACATTTTTTTAAAACATGTGTTTTTAAAACTTCCTCCCTCCCCACCCACCCTCATTGAAAAGGCAAGCAACTCAATATAGGTTGTACATGTGCAGTTATGCAAAACTCTTCCTTAGTAGACATATTGTGAAAAACTAACTCTATTTCCCTTAATCCTATCCTGCCCTCCCATTTATTCTATTCTTTCTTTTGACCCTGTCCCTCCTCAGAAGTATTTGCTTCTGATTACCCTCTTTCCCAATCTGCCCTCCTCTCTATCACCCCCTGCTCTCTTGTCCCCTTCTCCCCCTATTTTCCTGTAG